CCCGCCAAACGCCTAGAGTTTTTCACACTTGGGTCAACTCAAATTAAGCACAGTGAATACACGTTTCGCGGTCTTAAAAAATCTCATAATTAGCAACTTATGTCAACCCGAAGGATATCCTTTTCCTGAGTATATAGTTCGAAGAAGACGTAATATTTTACCCAACGAGTACAAGAAACAATATGTTTGTGCATGTTTCTTTGACAGGTATATTTAAATTTATGCAGGCATTAAAAATCAGTGATAAAAATGCATGCAAACTGCGTTTATATTTTTTACAGAGTTTGCTTTTTGCAGCCAGCCTGAAGGATCCCCGCTTTAAATTCGGCACCCTGACGTGACTGAAATAGTTTAGCATTAGGACGTATTATAAGCAATTTGCCAACCTCACTTGAACATATTTCATATTTCAGAATTTCCGTTGACATTCCTTGAGATAGCGAACTTACTGTATTTACAGTCCGTGGCCTGATAGCGAGAAGTTTGTTTTGATTTCCAAGCCAAAATTCCCCTTCCCGTGACAGACTATACATAATCGCACCATTTAAGAGAGAAATAAGCTTTAAGTTGAAGGTGGCATCCAAAGTATTTAGCAAATACTGGCGCCATCCACTGAGACAAAATACTCAAGAGCTCACGGTTTACAGAAAATCCACATATATTATGGGGACAGGTGTAATCTCAGCTTCCGTTTCTTTCCACGTGAGGTATTGTGCTAGGAATGGAAGGATAGAATGCTGATATGCCGATTTACGGCAAGACATATGGCGGAAGTTTCGGCACACAGTACGGGAAGACTTCACAGCCATTATTTCAGAGTGATATGGCTGAGGAACCTCCTCAAGAATGCGATCAGTAAATTGCTTGATCGTTTTAAAGTGTCGCTGTATCACAATATCAGCTTAAAAAGCATGAGAAATACCGGCAGCTGAAGAGAGCGTTCGGAGGGTACCCGTCTAAATAAACATGTCTTTTAAGCAAAGCTTGAAAAATAACCGGAGATAAGTATAGAATTATTGTCCATTGCAGAACGGGTAAGCAACTGAGTAACCCTGTGCTCACGCCGTTAACATGCCCTGTAGAAAACGCGTTTAGTGCACTAATTTCCCCTCCTTCTGCTGTTTTTCCCCCAGATTTGCCGAATGCTCGGGATCATTGACGAATCGGAGTACTTTGGCATCCAGTACGCTGGACTGAAGGGGGACCTTATCTGGTTAAACATGCGTAACCGCATTTCCCGCCAACTGCCCGGTGCCCCACCTTACCACCTTTTCATCAAGGTGAA